GGAGGAGCAGAATGAAGGCGTGATCTGATTTGCCGAGGGGAGGGCGAGGCAGGGCCTTGTAGCCAACCCGGAAGGGGAAGTAGCGCAGTAGGTGTGTTGATAAAACTTTGGTAGCTTTTTCCTAAGATTTTCTTTATTAAAGTCGCAGGCTACAACAAATGCGGCCTCAGGATATGCAGTTTCCAGTTTGCACAAAGTTCAGTGTAGTTCTTTCAGAGCAATCGTGGTGTTGGCTTGAGGGGGAATATACATGGCCGTGACGATGACTGAAGATAATTCTCTCGGGAGGTAATGTGGACGGCATTTGATGGTGAGATATGCCAGATTGGGAGAACAAAAGGACTTGAATTACTGTACGTTACCACAATCACACCATGAGTCGTTAATCATGAAACATATATCTCCGCCTTTCTTTTTCCCGGAGAGTTCTTTCTTCCTGTCCACGCACTGTATGGAGAACCCCGCTGGCTGAATGGAGGAGGACAGTACATCCGGAGAGAGCCATATTCCGTGAAACAGAGTGTGTTACAGTCCCTGATGTCTCTCTGGAAGCAGATCTTCGCCCTGAGCTCATCTACGTTATTGTCCAGGGACTGAACATTAGCGAGTAATATACTCGGAAGAGGTGGTTAGTATGCACGCCTCCTGAGTCAGACTTAAAGCCCACTCTTTTTCATCGAAGGCGTCTTGGAGCAGCCCCTGGGATCAGTGGAACTGCCTCAGGGGGTACAAAAAAGGATTCAATTCAGGAAAGTCTAATTTCTGGTCGAAATGCTGGTGAGGTGACCGGCAAAATTATTTTTGGCTGTAGGTAATAAATACAGATGAGTTGCGCTGTTACCCACAACATTTTTCAGAGAAATCAAATGATGATATCGCCTTCATAATATTCAGCACTGCATGCGCTTTCTGTCCACATGGGCACCGTTGGGAACGCCCCGTGCTATGTGGTGATTGGCTCGTGATATTCTAGTGTCGAAGGAGGTTGAACCAACGAGACCATCAGATTCTCCAGGAGAATTTCAACCAACAGCCTCCAACACACTTCCGACATGCTCCGAATTTGTATTCACAAGTAAATATATAGTTCATATATATTTACTTCTAGCCGAGTCGGCTAGAAGTAAATCTCCCTTTAGGGATAGCAGGGATCCAAGCACTTAAACTTTTACTGCAGTGGGCTAAATCAGGGTTACACAGAGTGATTCTTGGTAGTCTTAAACAAACCTGTACCATGTCAGATATAGAGTTGAAATGTATTACATTTTCAGTTTGCATCAGAAGAAGACTGAAATATAACAAAACTGTTTGACATTGAAACACAGGATTTTCGCCGTTAAATAAAATGGTGCAGAGAGAAAAATGTGATGTTTTATAATGCTATTCTACACATTTGTCATGAGGCTAAGAGGAAATGTAGTTTTTAAAGCTAATTTCCTGCTATTCTATACATTTTGCCATGAGGCTGAAAGGAAATTGTGCAGGTTTTGCTATCATATGCTATCTGGGGGCCCCCCAACCTCCAGCCCTGGGACACGTGCCCTGCATGCCCCTTCAGTAATCCGGCCCTGTTTATGAACACCCAATTCAACTTTAGAGTGCACAGATTATTTGGTATCTAACTTTACAAATTGATACTGGCCGTTGAATCTGGTGTTGAATCGCCACCATTCGTCAACACCCAGTGATCTACTACGCACAGCCGACATTTGCTATGTTGTATCTTTCCTTTTAAAGAAAATAACCAAAAACACCACACCAGCTCTCACACATTTTCATTAGTTCATCATTTCTTATCTTACCTGCATTCTCTTTCTTCAGTTCCTCCACCTGATTCTCACTGGCTGTCGCTCTGGTTTCCAGGGCTGACAATTCTACTGATTGGCCTTGAATTATATAAATATCATTGATAATGCAAGTCAACTTCCAGAAGCAATAGGCAATATCCAGTACAGAGCTGTGTATTTTTCTATTGAACATTATGTCATTAGCTATTACCTGCATTCTCTTTCTCCAGTTCAGCTACCTGCCTCTCACTTGAACTCAGTCTGTCCTCCAAGGCTAAAATCACAAAGTAGGAAAATAAGAGTGAATCATGTGAGTTTATACTGTACAAGTCCTGTCCTTTCATTACATGCATTCCCTTTCTTTAGTTCCTCCACCTGTCTGTCACTGGCTGTCTTATCACATTCTGAAGGTCAATCCTGTTCAGGTAAAGCATGGTAAATAAAATGTTTTAGCCACCTGCATTCTTTCCTTTCAGTTCCTCCAGCTGGCTCTCATTTAGACACGTGCACAGATAGGGCTTAACCAGTGCCCGAGCACATGCTCTTTTGCCCTCCTATGAAAAAGTGCCCTTGCAGCATGATGGAGTTCTTGTATTTTATTCATAGCTTTTTTTGTTAAATTTTGAGGCCTTTTACATTGTATTTATTTTAAATGTAACTAATTGCACATCAAACTAACACATTGCACATCAAACTGACTTCTGCATGCAGTGACCACTGGCTACGGGCGCTGGGCGTAGAGTTTGAATGCTGAAAGTACGCTACTTTTGAGTTGGATCTGTCATACGTCTCTCATTGTTAGGGACAGAGAAGGGGGCAATTCGACTGCTTGAGGCAGATGTCAGCAGCAGAACAACACAAATCAAGTAAAAACGAGTTTGCTTCTAACTAGCTAATTAACTAGCGAGCAGATTTACATCATCATTTGCTATGATCAGCTGATAGCCACTCTTTTCCCGATGTCAATCATCGCTAGTCGTCTCTAGTTAGTAGGACTAGGAGTCACTGATACTACCTTCCTTACAATGTGTGATGACGAGTGAGTGTTATAGAAAATAAATAGGCCTATACATTTAGACATTTTGGATACAGAGGCAGTTGTTAGGACTATGTCATGAATTCCGAGTTATACATTTTTTTTGTTGCCCTTTTTTATTTTAAGCACCTGCCCTCCCCAAATGTCTATGCATGCCCCTTCTCTCACTGGCTGTCAATTTGGTGTTCAAGGCTAAACCATGAAAATAAGTGATTTCATTATGTAATGATCTTGGTGCTAGGTACCACCCTGCAAGAGTTTGTGAAAAGGCATTTAGAAAAAGTAACTTTTTAATGCCCAGTATTGTAGCAAATATCCTACATTTGATAATTACCTGCTGTCGTGTTCGTCAGTTCCTCCAACTTGATCTTACTGACTTTCAATTTGGCATCCAGGACTAAAATAGCATGAAAATAAATTACTACATTAGATCAATCATCTTTTATTACTTGCCTTCTCCCTCTATGTATGTGTATTATTACAGTACCTTCATTCTTTTTCTCCACCCTATCCACTCTTCTTATTGTGGTGTCGAGTGTAGTTTTCAGAATCTTAATCTCATCCCATAGATGGTCAAGGGTAAGGAATGGAGTATTCTGGTCAATCCCTTCTCCACTCTCTCCCTTGGCCCATGCCCCAAACAGACAGAACAGAAACACCAGCAAAGCTACAGCACCCCTCATCCCTTCAATAGGTAATGTTGTCTGTTAATAGTAGTAGTAGTAGTGGTGGTTTTAGTAGTAGTAGTAGTAGTAGTAGTAGTAGTAAATGTAAATGTAAATGTAGTAGTAGTAGTAGTAGTAGTAGTAGTAGTAGTAGTAGCACAACCTGTTGTCTGTGAGGCTCAGTCCCAATCTTTATACACACAAAATTCTCAGGGGCATTTCTAGGCGGAAAACAATATCGGGGGGGGCCAAGGGGGACCAAGAACCAGTCATGGGTGCCCATGGGAAATCAGCCAATTGTTTCTAAAGTTGACTTAAACTTCGAAACATTGTATGGAATAACTGGTTCAACTGTTACTTTGTTTATGTTCCTAATGTATTCAAAAAATAAATCTGAAAATGAATATAGGGAAATATTCAAAAAAGATACAGTGGGGAAAAAGTATTTAGTCAGCCACCAATTGTGCAAGTTCTCCCACTTAAAAAGATGAGAGAGGCCTGTAATTTTCATCATAGGTACACGTCAACTATGACAGACAAATTGAGGGTTTTTTTCTCCAGAAAATCACATTGTAGGATTTTTAATGAATTTATTTGCAAATTACGGTGGAAAATAAGTATTTGGTCACCTACAAACAAGCAAGATTTCTGGCTCTCACAGACCTGTAACTTCTTCTTTAAGAGGCTCCTCTGTCCTCCACTCGTTACCTGTATTAATGGCACCTGTTTGAACTTGTTATCAGTATAAAAGACACCTGTCCACAACCTCAAACAGTCACACTCCAAACTCCACTATGGCCAAGACCAAAGAGCTGTCAAAGGACACCAGAAACAAAATTGTAGACCTGCACCAGGCTGGGAAGACTGAATCTGCAATAGGTAAGCAGCTTGGTTTGAAGAAATCAACTGTGGGAGCAATTATTAGGAAATGGAAGACATACAAGACCACTGATAATCTCCCTCGATCTGGGGCTCCACGCAAGATCTCACCCCGTGGGGTCAAAATGATCACAAGAACGGTGAGCAAAAATCCCAGAACCACACGGGGGGACCTAGTGAATGACCTGCAGAGAGCTGGGACCAAAGTAACAAAGCCTACCATCAGTAACACACTACGCCGCCAGGGACTCAAATCCTGCAGTGCCAGACGTGTCCCCCTGCTTAAGCCAGTACATGTCCAGGCCCATCTGAAGTTTGCTAGAGTGCATTTGGATGATCCAGAAGAGGATTGGGAGAATGTCATGTAGTCAGATGAAACCAAAATATAACTTTTTGGTAAAAACTCAACTCGTCGTGTTTGGAGGACAAAGAATGCTGAGTTGCATCCAAAGAAATAACTGTAAGATGTGGAAGTTCAAGA